CACAATTTTGGAGATATTACAGAAATCTACAATCAAATGATGCAAAACAGGTTAAAGACAAAATACAGTTCAATTATTTTGTTGTTAATTTTCTAAATCATTCTAATATTTGCAATTTTTGCAGAGAACCATGGCTTTGGGATGAATGCAAACGTGACCATCCCAAACTTACTTCCGTATTGGAACAACTTAAAGATTCCCAAAAATATGAATTTATTGTTTCCGGCACATTTAATGGAGTTAATGGAGTAAGGGTAGAAGATAAAATTAAGTTTTTGAGTTAAAAAGAAATGATGCATATTATTTGATTTTAATTTCAAAAATGTTGTGGGTGATTTAGATAAATTTTCTGTATATAAATATGAATAAATGTTTGGAGAGTACGAATTATTGGAGTTCATTTAAAATATATTTGACTAATGAACTCAGTGAAAAAAAAATTATTTTTGATAGTCTATCTTATCATTTTAAATAAAAAATAAATTTTTAAAAACTTAACGTTAATCGTTTCAATCCTTCAATATAATAAAATTTTAAATCAATGCCATTGGACCCGACATGGGTCACCAGTCGGTTTGGGTCAATAGTAATAATCTTAATTTTAATTTCCTCCTGGATGAACATAATCTCCAAACTTTGCAAATTAACAATAAATGAACAAATGACTTAGTACTTTCAGGTGCTTAACGGGTTTCATTTTAAAGAACTATTAAAAACGGCGAGATCGTCGGTCGCACAATAAATTGCAAACGGTCGAACTTTGTTATAAATTACAATGATTTATAACAGGTCTAACCGACGGATACTTATACCGGATGGATCTAGATATCCAGCCCCATCCGCGGGTATTCTGGCATCGAATTAATCGATCGAATAATCATAAAAATAGGGAGACATGAAGCGTAACTGAAACTATACTACTACATCTGTCACAAAAGAAAGTTCTTCAACCATTCATTTATTTTTACCAACTCGAGAAACCAAAAAAAAAGTTATTTATTCCTTCCGCTACGACCTATAAATATTCCTTCTGAAATGATCCAACTTGAAGGAGAAACTTTAAGCAAAGTATAATAAAATCAATAGGGGAAATAAACCAGAAAGTATAAAAAAATTAAAATGACAAATATACGTGTAAAAAAAAATACCGAAATTCTCATACTTTCAAAAATATCAAAACAAGTAAAAAAAAAAAAAAATTATTACAAAATATTCTGATAAAATTTAGATGTACGAAAGTTTTTTTTTTAAAAAAAAGTTTCTACACCAATAAAGGATTAATTCCGACATTAATTAGTGAACATATAAACTTTATTTTTTTTTTTGATTAATAAAAATGATTTTGAATCTCTTAGAATCGAATGATTCAATCCCTATCTATGATAATAAACTTTCTACGATTTTTAGTAGTAAACAAGTCTAAAATATATTTTAAAGTCTTTCAAAATTACTCACGATCGGCATTATTGCACTTTTCTTTACTTTACATGGCGTAACGGATGAGAGTTCAATCTCCGAAACTTATTCATCATATTAGTGTCACACGAGATTGAAATCTAATCTAATATGAAAAAAAATTATGAAATGAACTAGGCTATATACCTTTCATAATTTACCTTTTAAACATTCCTAAAAATGATTGTTGGGCTGAATTCAATTGATCTTTCAATCTTCCAAAAAAAAGAACCATACCCCTAAGTTCATTAATTAATAATCGTATAGTCCATTTTCTCTTACGGTGTTATATTTTTTTAATTTGAAATACAGGCAGTTATATTCATCAGTTTCCACAAACGCAGCACTTATACATGAATTTTAGTGATAATTAACTGTTTTCTAATGTGTAAGTTCAGATTAAATCAAAAATTTCGAAATATAGTAGTAATTATAATTTTGAAAATACTTCATTTATAAAGAGAAATTATAAAAATAAAATTCGCGTAATTTTTAATTATGTTACTACTTTATATTTATTTGTATTAATATTTTTAAAATTATTACATTCCGTTTACTTGATCATTAATGAAGTTTCTGCGGAGATTAAACATATCGAAATTATATTTATATTATTTATTAAATAGTCCTGTTGTTATCAAATGAGTTTGCTTTTGTAACAAAAAAGCCTTTGGATAAATTATTAAAAATTAATTCGTGATCCGCGTAACAACCAGTGAAAATCGTCAATTTTAATTAATGTCGAGATAAGTGCATATATATCATTTATAAATAAAATCATAAAGTGTCTGAATCTCTTTCGCCATGCCCATTACTACTACTTAAACGCAATCCTAATGGCAAAAAGTAAAAATTATGATGTTTTCCCTACTTTCAGTGGGAATTATTGACCCAAAATTGCATTTTGGAACCTTTTCGTGTGACTGGTGGACAGTTTAAATGGAATTTCTCGTTCCAATTCGTTTGCATATGAAAATAATAATTAAGTATAGACAATAATCAACCAGACCAGAATGATTAATCATTAATTAACTATTAATTAGCCAAATTTAAAATAACTGTGAATTTCCTATTTTTAATGATATTCTACATTTAGATTTGAAAAAATCACATAACATGATATGAATGAAACTAAAATTTTATTTTACGGTATATGCTATGATAATTATGATATCAAATCAAATTTAATATTTTACAGCATTGCAAAGACTGCATATTAAACAATATGAACAAAAAGAGGGAAAGTATAAATAATTTATTGCAGTTTTAAAAATTTATTTTCATTTTATATTAATTTTATCTAAAATTCTTCAGAAAACTTTTTTATAATAACTGTTTTAATAAAAAATGCAAAATTCTATTTTTCAAGTCATAGATATCTTCAGTATATTTTGCAACATTGGAATCTTTTTTAATAGCATTATAACAAATGCTAATATATAATATAAAATGGAATATACAGCTATAAGTTTATATTAGAAAGAAGCTAAAAAAAGAAAACTAAATAAAATACTTGAAAAATTTGAAGATATGTATTTAGTAAGAAAATATAATTATTAATTTTATCTTTATTAAATAAAATAATGTTTCACAATATTTCAATTGTATAATAATATTATAGGCCTAGATCATTTCTTATATAACTATTTTAATAGAATATATGTATATTAGTTATATCATTGGGTATTTGGCTATTTTGCTATTTATAAATACTAGGTTTAATATGGATAATGCCTTTGTGTATCTCATAATTATCTGTCAGCATATTACTCATAAATACTTTAGTAATTTTGATTAGAGATTAGAAATGATTTTATTTTCACAAACTGCTTTTAAATACTTTTTAATTTGAGACTCAAATTTAAACTGAATTTATATAAAACTGATTTAATTGAATATTTAGAATATTTAGTTATAATAAAACCAAAAAATCAAATTGGGATTAATTTTATTATGAAATATAATCTTATCAATTTATAAGAATTTAAACAAAAAAAAGTATAATACTAAATATTTGCATAAAATAAATTAAAAATTAAAAAAATGAGAAAATTGGATCATTCACTTATAAAAAAAAATTAAACTTTTTATTATTATTATCAAAAATTATATCATTATCTAATATTACATAATTATCAAATATTAATATAAATATCATCTTTTAGAGTTTAATTATAATATATAAAACTAATTATTTGTTCATTTGGTTTAATCAATTTCATTAAATTTAAATTTTTACAATAAACTAATTTTATTAAAACTAGTTTTCAACTCTGAAAAAAACTAGATCTAGTTTTATATTACAATTATTTTAAATTGAATTTATATTAATTCATATAAAACTAGTTTTAACCTTTAATTCTAATTTTTTAAAAAAAAAATAAATTTAAATTTATATCTATTATTATAATATTTAGTAACTTATACTTTTTATTATATAATTTTATTTATATAGGATCAGCATAAGAAACTTTATCAAAAAGCTTAAAATTATGAAAGAAGACATGTAAATAATTAAAATATTTTAATAAGTTTATATAATTCTTATTTTAATTAAATTTTTAAATTAACATGAATTATTTGAATAAAAAAAATATTAATATATTTCGATAAAATATAAATATTATTATAATTAAGAATTGTGTAAGAAAATTATAAATTTTATATTTAAAGATTATTCTAAAAAAAATAAAAGAAATATTAAATAAAATTATATCATTTATATCTCAGTTTAATCTTTCTAAAATTAAATATAATATTCCAATAGCATGTAAAATCCTAGATATTTATCAAGAAGTATATTTTAGTTTTCTGAAAAGATATTACAAGATTTACAAAAAGTTGACTTAAAATACAAACTTTTTAAATGAAGCAAATAATATGATAAATAAATTTATTCATATGTATTATTTATTAAATGCTCATTTTAATATATATTTAAGTGATCTAATTATATTTTATAAAAATGTAATAAATCTTAAAAATCATATATACAGTCAAACCTTGATATAGTGAACCCTTGATATAGCGAATTTTTAAATCAAATATATTAAAATTACCTTTACTATAGTGAACTAGCCAATTAAATTCTTTAAAAAATTCGTTATAAGTTTATAACGAAGTTGATATCCAGATCCTAGAATTCGTTATATCAAGAGTTCACTATACTTAAAAATAATATTTAATTTATTAGAAGGATTGTGAATAATTTTGTAAAAATTATATTATATTAATTATATATATTAATATATTTTATTTAATTTATAGAAGAAATTATTAGTGCTTAAAACCATTATTTGATAAAACAGATTATAGTGAAAGTAATTATGTAATTTAAGTAATTTTTAGATTTCTTAATTTAATATTCAAATATCATGATTAGAACTTTAGACTCATTGATATATTATTTTAAAATATTTAATTTATCATATATAATAATCAATTTTAATTGTTTAGAAATGAATTATCAAATTCATCAAAAATTACTAAGAAAAATATACAATCTATTTATTTGAAAGATATTTTAGATTATTTAATTCTTATAAATAAATCTGATAATATATATATTATTACAATTATTTTCTTTATCTAGTAAGAGAAATTATAATTGAAAAAAAATAAATCATGTATGTAAAAATATATTTATATAAGAAAAAAAAATTAATAAAATGTAAGAATTTAAAAAATAATAAAGAAAGACTAATAATTGATGATCTTCATCAATTTCTGTTATAAGAATTTAAATAATAATAAAGAATAATAAATAGTTTTTAAAATAGATAGTTATAAAAATTCTTATTATCATTCTTTTAAAATTATTAAATATAAT